AAGTTATCTTACTCCAGTCCCATTTATATCATACACAGACTGATAAAATATTATAAAAGTATTTATGCAAACAAACCTCATCTTCACTTGACAAGATAGGTGATGTTGCAGAAGCCATTTTGTACCAAGGCAGCCTTCGTGTTGTTTGAGGGGGAGAAGCGGCTGAGGGAGCAGTTCATGTCCCTGCAGTCTGACCATTAGATGCCACTGAAAATCACACTCTGTAGCTTAGATCTTAAGGGTGACCCATGCCTCGGTTCCCCTTTAGAGGGACATCCCGCTGCATTGGCCAAAGATGAGAACCAATATTCAGATCATTGTAAGCATTAAAGCCTGCATCTATGATTAGATAGGTGTGAATTTGTGGCAGTACCATTTTTAATTAATAACTTCTGTCGTAACTTTGCTTATATCTGCCCACAAATGCACTTAGATAGAAATTACTGTACTGTATTACAAGTTATTGCCTCTTTCTCATTAGGTCTATGGTCATTTTATGTAGACAATGTAGACATTCAAATTGGGGATACACATTTATTATACAGGGATCTTTATCAATGTAACTGTAAACAAATATCAAAAATGAAAATGACTACCTAGACTATGATAATTAGTTGTGCATATAATTATCATTATTTATGTTCAGTCTGGGGCAGCATTATACATTTGTTGCTTAATGCAGCAAAAGCCATTTCAAAACTATAATGACATGTTCTGTTAAGGTCCTCTATAAGCTATAACTGTGTTTAGTATTTTGTCAAAAAGGCAGCTGTTGCTAAATTTATCAATAAAACAACCATAAGAAGTGAAAAAAATCTTTTTTTCTTTTCAAAATCACCATCAGGATTCGGTGTTTGCAATAAGTTTAAAGCAGAAAAAAAATATAATTTTTTTCCTTTAGTAAAATAATGCTTATCACTAGTCATCTCCTCACATACAAGAAGACTAAAACATGCTCCATGCTTACATGATGTCCTGCTGAGGAAAAAGGAACTGACTGGGAGCAGATTCATCAGCTGTTGTAAAGCAATTTAAATAGTTTAAACAGTAGTAGCTTTTAATTAAATATGAAATAGCTTTTTTAGTGTATTTGAGAAAATGTTCTAAGGTGCTCTGATGTATGTATTTGTAAAATTTTATGTTCAAGGTTTTATTTCTTCCTCACAGCCCTCGATTCCTCTTCATGTGGCCAAATTCGAGAATCTCTGTAATGGGAGGTGAGCAGGCGGCGACGGTCCTGGCCACCATCACCAAAGATCAGAGAGCACGAGAGGGAAAAGAGGTAATAATTTGGAATAAATCTGCCCCTCTGTGCCCTCTCTGGGAAGCCATAAATTCTCTGTGGTTGATTGGCTGCCAAAGGAATAAACATTAGGAAAGGCACATTTCTTTCAGTTGATGGTAAATCACAGCAGAATGAAATCATATCAGCCTTAAGTGCAACTGTGATGCATTATCCAGAATAGTGCCGTCATTAAGCAGCGGTAATTAAAATGTCTCAGGTTTGCTGTTACAGGTGTATTAAAAATGAATTAATTGCTTTTAGAGTGACACATTAGTGCCATAAAAAGCAGCAGTTTTAATGATGTGTTAGCTGGCATAAAAAGATGAGTACAATTTGTTCATATGTTGTTTTTAGAGCTCTGACTCTTAGTTGAACCTGAGGGAACAAGAAATTAATGTCTAAAGATTTGTAGAAACGGGACACAAAAGCATTCTTTCCTGTGTACCTTTCCCTGTTTTGTGTCACACTATATTTTCTTTGGATTTATGGATTAAACCAACATAAAGCAGCATGTAAAGAATTACATTAACACATGGTTTTAGTATTACCTCCCAGAAGGGGGTTATTTTTTCATCTGCACTGGTTTGTCTGACTCTTTAAAACACTGAAAAGCTGAAATTTTCAGAAAAGGTTCGTATTGCGACCGAAACAAATTATTCGATTTTGATGATGATCAGAATTACTGTCAGGATCTGTGGATTTTAAAAAAAAGATTCTGTGAAAGCATGTTTTAACTTAAAGTGGACAGTATGTTGTTGGAAATGAGCTACTTGGTGGAGGTCTGCGCTAGTTTGATCATTTCATCACGATTAATCATGATTAAATGATTATTGAAGTAATCGTCAACTAATTTAGTAATTGATTAATCCTTAACTGGAGCATCGACACTGTAAACCATGCCTTTAGCAGACATAGCAAGCCAATTAGAGCAGTAATTATATCGAAATTGTTAAAAAAATACATAAACATTTTGCATTTAAGATGGAAAAACATTTTTTTGGTCTGTCAATATGCTCTATCCAGAACCTCCTCGAGACGAAAAGTTTTAGTTTCACATGGTTGAATTTTGTAAAATTATTCTTTAAGGAACATTTGGCTATCGAATTATTAACCTTTTAATAGAAAAAATAATCAACAGATTAATCTATTTGCAAAACAATCATTAGTTGCAGCCCTAGTCTGCAACTAACCGAAGGTTTTTCTAGTTCACGGAAAAAAATTTAAAAATAACTGTTGTTCTAGTCTTGAACAAGTAGTAATTTTACAGCTTTTGCACTCTTGTTTTGTATCCACTATTAGGAGATGGTTGTTTAATTTGCAGATTTTTTATATAAAAGCCTGAGAGACTTGCCCCAAAGGAAGGTACCACCCACCTCCCTTCTGCCCACACACACATTACACAGCGACAGGGCTTGTACGTCAGTGGTTCAAACTCTGCTTAAAGTGAACATAAAAAGGTTAAGATTAGACTTTTCTCAGCTAGAATGAATAAACAATCATTTATAAATATAGACAGATAAAATTTGCAGCCCAGAAGCAGTGGATAACACCGGTCTTAAAAACTGACAGGTTTTTGTTGGTGGATATATGCTTTAAATTTCTCTACTCAGCCTATTTATATTGAGTTTAGATTACATACTGGTAGAATCTGTTTACAAATGAAATGACCTGCAGAAGTGACTGATTTGGCTTGAGAAGGCAGCGTGTTTTTTTAGAATAAAGAGGTGAATGTATAGGCATTTAAAATGTTAGCTTTACCCTTTTTAACAAATACATATCCTAGTAAATTTTAATGGAGTTCAGTGTTTATAAGTAACTCAGCAAGGAGAGGTGCTCTTCATATCCTTTTCTGGATTAAATTATAAATTCCACTGAAAAGCATATTTATACCCATGATTGTTCTTTTTTTAATCCAAAGTAAAAAGCCTTTTCATTTGTTAATGGTATTTGCCCCAAATGGACTCTAGTCTGAGCTAAGGCCTACTCCTGATCAGCTCAAAATCACCTTTTGATCAAAGACCTTAGAATTATTTCAGGAACTTTCCAAGGGCAGCAGAACACCAAATATGTGGAGTCCTTTTTCTTTCAAATATTGCATTAAAGAAGTGCTTCTGATTGACAGCTTGTTCGCCCGTCTCATCCTTGGAGTTGAACTAAAAGCAGTGGGAAGCTTCTGCATTTGCTCATTTTTTTTTTTATCATTTTATTTTTTTTCTCTCAAAAAGAATTGGCTCAGTATTTCCAAGTAGATGAAACCGACAAATGAAACGGCCATGTGCTTTCAGCTTTACATTTCAATTTCACCATCAACAATTCAGGCAACCTTTAAAATGCCTGCAGCCCCAGCCCTCATTGATATGTTCTGTTTTTTACTATTTATTCACAGTTCACAGCTGAACAAGAGGCGGCTATGAAGGAACCAATTGTTAATCGGTTTGAAGAGGAAGGCAGTCCATATTACTCCAGTGCCAGGTGAGATTAGGTCAGGGAGCGGCACATATTGGAAAGCATTCGCTCCATTTATTCATTCCTGTTTGGAAATTCAAGCATTCGAATATTGTTAAAGACAAATGTTGTGATCTTGTGATGGATTAGGTTTTTATATTTTTTTTTAGTTTTTTTATTGATTTTAAAATGTTTTCTAACTTGGAAGTATTTTTTATCTTTGGACCAAGAAAATTATCCTGTCAATATGTGAGAACTAATGCAAACAATTTTATTATTTTTATTTTATTGTTTTGGGTTTTATTTGCTTTCCATTTGCTCTTTTGCAAATGTATAAGTGTGTATGTGAGATGCATCTATCTATACGTTTTAAAATAGGCCTGCTTAATGGAACTTTTGAACTTCTATGAGATAAAAAAATCTGTTTTGTGCGGGGGATCTTGCTATCCCAGTTATTTTAAGGCTAAAACTAAACTGTCATTGTTATTTGAGGCCTTATTATGTAGTCTCGTAAGCCTTACTCTGTTTTAAACGAAGGCTGCTGGATGATACCAGCACAGAGTTAAAATCAGTGGGATCTGAAACATCTGGTTTGGACTTATTGTCTTGTTTTGCTTCAACTTAAGTTAAAGCCTGGACTTAAATATTAAACACTGCAAACAATTTGGCATTAGATGAGTTTGGAGTTTAATAATGTTTATTATAATGACCCATGTTATTATTAACACGGATTCTACAGTAGCTCACTCAGATGCAGCTCGGCCAGCCTTTTTTCCCCCTGCTATTAAAGGCCATTCTGAACGATCGGATCACAGCTACATGCACATAAACAAATGAAAGCAGTCTGCAAGCTGTCAACACCCTCAGCTCAACGATCCATTCTCAATGGGATTCAGAGACTCTTTTATTCATTGTCTTGATGTCAGTGAATGCATCACAAATGCTATTGTTCTTCTGCATAGATGACAGAGTAGACAGAGAGCAATGGTCTAGATATCCGTTAATGACGTTTCAGTCCATGTAGAGATGTTCTGTTTATGTTCTGATAGAGTGGTGAATCTTTATTTTCATGTCAGACTGACTCTGACAAACAAGCTCTGGTGACGCTTTTAATGCTGCTCCATTATTGCCTACTTAACACTGCAATTATTTCAGCAATTGCTAGTCATCAGACAGGCTGCATTACAGACTATATTGTGCACATACAGGTGCATCTCTTTTGATTCCTTCCTTCCTCCCGTCATTTTACTTTAACACATGCTGATTAATCTGTTTGTTTTTTTCTAGGTGAAAAACAACAACAACAATTCGGTTTCTTAGTGAAAATTTTATCAAAAGACTAAATAAAGGATGTTTTAATACTGAGATGTTATTGAAAAATGAACACTATAGCAGGAAAGATAACTTCTCAGTTATCATCCATCAACAAGGTAACCAAGTGATTATAGGTAAGGAAGCTGAGTGTTGTATTCCATTTTCCTTTTTAATGGAAGACAAAAGTGGTGGCAGGAAAGGGTCCTTAAGAATCACCCCTCTATTGAGAACTGAATCCATGACCATTCTATGTTGTAAGAAAGAATCACAAGTTGTGGAATCCCACTGGAGTCACTTCAGTGCTGACCTCAGATTTGTTTTCTTTTTATGTGCATTTTGAAGAATTTGCTACAGATAGGAACCGCAGAATTTGAATCAGTTGACTAAATTTTGCAAACATTTTTATGTTCACTTGAGGTGTTTATCTATTCCTAGTGTCCCGATAGCCACATTTTGATATAACATGACATTTTCTTTCCACCCTGGCATACAGGTTTTTGTTATTTAATTAAATTCAGAATCAATTAACAGATAATTTATTGATCTTGAAGAGAAATTAAATGTTGCAACTGAGTTTTTTTTTCTTTAGCTAGCTGTTATAAATTTTCATAGCTGTTGGCAGGAACGATGTCCTGTAGAGGTCTGTCTTAGAGCCGATTTGCAGAATCCTTTGAATATTTACTGTTGTTGTTCAACAGTCTCCCTCAGGGTTATCCATACTGTTCTTCATTCTATGAAGAATACATCTTTGTAAAATCCTCTCTAGAGGAGTTCCTAGAACAGCCAGCTTTGTGGAGCACATTGGGCCAGAGCATTACCAGTTTATCCCACTTGCTTCAAAGCACTGACTTGGCGATGCCTGAAGCCAGTGCAGCGGAGGACAGCATGACTCACAACTGAGACATATGTCTGAGTGAGTTGTATTTATACCCAAATGTGAGGCTAAGATGACGAAAGCCTGTAGTGCTTGTACTATTTAAGCCAATAGAAAGATTCAACTGCAATTTGCACTTTTTAATCCTACGAGGGTTGCATTAAGACTGGTTTAGGAAAAAATATTGCAAAGCTAAAAAAGCTAACTTAAAAATTTAAAGAAAAAAAACACAGTAAGATTAAAACAACACCCCACAAGCCCAGTTTATGCAAACTATCTGCAAAATAAGTAGTTTATGAGATGAGCTAAAATTTCTAATAATACACTTTATTCTAATAAGGAATAACAGACTCATCCCTCATAAAATGATTTACATTTATGTGTAAAATTGTGAAACTCTTTCTTTCTTTGTTCTTTTTACAGATTGTGGGATGATGGTATCATTGATCCAGCAGACACTCGTCTGGTTCTGGGACTGAGCCTCAGTGCAGCTCTCAATGCGCCATCAAAGAGGACCCGCTTTGGAGTGTTCAGGATGTAACTTTCCTGTAGTTTTTGATGTATATAGACACATATTTGTAGTATAAATTGAAATATGTGGAAAACAAATTTCAATAGGACAACTTCAGAGGACTTAGTTTTGTGACTAATTGTCGTTGTGGGACATTTCCACAGTAAAGTTGTGCCTTTAGTATTACTTTTCCACTGTAAATGTGGCTGTACTTAGAAACATTTTTTTCTTTCTTCAGTTAAATTTTCATCACTTTACTGTAAATGAAGATTAAACACATTAAAACTTCTGTTTTAATTTTCTTTAATCTCTTAATAATGCTAGAGAACATGTGCTCAATAGGGGGCACTATGTAGCCAAGAATAATAGACTGCCTTGTTAAGTGAGACCTACAGGTTTATTTTTTTTTTCTGGTTTTTGGAGCTCCTTCATGTTTTTATGTTTTCATAATGCAAGGGAGTTGTCTAACAATAAATAATGTATGTGGTGTACCTCGTGGTAGAGTTTATATAATCTTTAGAGACTGTCTTTCTACATAAAGTCGGGCATTTTTGTATTTCCTCAGCCATTTGCTCTATTCCCATATAGATCAGTTCTCCCTGAGTCTCAGTTTTACTCCAGGGATTTGGAGGATCATTGTATTTACATGCTTGCATGCAGTCGGCTAGTTAAAGTGCTTAACTAGAAGCCCTTCACGCTCCTCTCTGGATGACTGTAGTTTAAGCACTAAGGCTGGGAAATGCTCACCTTAGAGAGGGAACAGAAATAACTGAGGGCATCATGTGGGCATGAGTTTATCTGCCTTCTACCCACGCCTCCTGCTCCAAATGTCACCGTAGGAGGCTTTCCAAAATCTCACATCATGTCTTCCAAAATTGTGGTCATTCTGCAGATATAAGAGTGAATATTTAAGGAATACTTTAGTGTAATGAAAGTAATAGCATGGAGCATTGAAAGATTTTGATTTCTCATTGGACATTCTAGAATTTGTGTATTTATACTGTTTTAAGAAAAACTGCCAACCCAATATGTAAAACATTCATCTGATGTGCATCTTCCAGATCTCTGACAGTGATTGTATTTGTTTCGTTCAGAATATCTGGCAGGAGTTCGATTTTTCTTAAAAGTGCTTGCTTTGCCTCCAAGCTTCACAGCCTTTCTTGGCTTGTATCGGATTAAAAGGCAGTTGAGACAAACGGCCAGAAAGACGAGCGCTCCGAATAACAGCGATGTGTGGATGGTTTATCTAAGAGAAAATAAAATGTCTTTAGGCAACTGAACAAAGATGAAACTGGTGAAAGAGATTAAAGTCAAGTGAGGATCATTGAAGGCAACAGTGCAGCAGCGTGTGGCATTTCATTACATTAAACTCATCAAGAGGATTTATTTCAGTCAGTTGAAAGTGTGAAATATTGATCCATTATCCTTGGGGTGATGGGTATTTTAATTTATATATTTAAGTTTGAAAATATTTGCTGTCAGCTAATAAAAACCCAAAAGTCAGTTCTCCAGAGAACTTGGAGTTTACATACTGTACATCCCACACAATCATGGGTTAAGGGGCTTACTGGAACTGTCGTTTAAAAAACAAAACAAAACCCTGATGGCTTAAAGAGTGCTGTTTCTAAGCATTGGAATAAGAATTTAACTCCGGAGAGAAAGATTGAGGTAGAGGAAGGTGCATATGTAATGAGTACGGTAAAGCAACCATTTCACAACTTTAATGGTGAGTAAAAAGGTGTGACATTCTGCTGGAATCTGCTCCAAGATCCTTTACACACACACACACACATTTGTTTTCAGGTAATGAGCCACACCTGTCACATCCCATGTGTGAAACTTCCCCTAACCAGGAATGGCATCAGAGCTACAAGGGAACAGGCTTGACTGTTACTTGGTGGTTGAAAATCCTCATTTCATCTCCCATCATTTTCTAGAACCAGGTAACCTGCAGGTGTGGGTCCAATGGGTTTTATCATGGTACAAGTAGAGTCCAGCATTGCAAAACTTTTTAGAGGTGCTGATCTAATGTTCCAGCAGGTCTTAAGTGACCACCAGACTGCTGTACTTTATCGGTCAGGAAATTACCATCACCTAAGATGAGGTTCTTTGGTCGATTAGAGAGAGAAAAAAAGAAAGTTATGGCTTTCCAGCTTTCTTCTTAACTACATGTCAACGTGCCCCTGGGCAAGGCACTCTACCCGATGTAGTCTGTCTGCTTTTAAATGTGTGTGTTTGAGAGAGAAAATCGGGCTGCAGTTAAAAAATACTTTGCACTCTAGGACTGGAGAAATGCTACATAAGTTCAGTCTGTTTGTGGAGTGGGAGATGAGACAGCAGTCAGACAGTCTGAAGGTCGTTGTTGAAGCAATCAGCAGTGCCACCGGCTAAGAAGAAATCCATGCTTGATTTACATCACTCAGACTCTATATAAGCTCTACTTTTTTTTACAAAGCTACATCAGTATTTCTGTGATATCTTGTTTTTTTTCCAGCTGTTAAAACTAAGCAATTTTATTCCAAATGTCTGGTCTAAAAAATTGTTTTTTGGTGCTTAGAGCTAAAGTGGGATTTGAATTTTTGTTTCATCTGAATGCAGATAAGAATTTGTGCTGAAAGCTATCCTTAAAACAACAGAATCATGTTTTTAAAATGGAATAAAGCTTAGACTTCTTTTTATTTTTATGTAAACCAAGAATTTAAGCACTAAAAATATAAAATTCAGTAAAAAAAAAAAACATTTGACATTTGTTCTTAATCTAAAGAAGTAGAAAAGTAATTTCTAGGCTGTTAAAAAAGACCAGTGTCTGCAAATGTGTAAAGATTGAGATTTTTTGTAAATCCCTTTCTTAATTTTTATTTCCAGGAACTGCTTCCTATCTGTGCTTCATAAACTCAACAAAGAGTTATTCAGCCTCAATCAAATATTCTTATTTTCTCTTGGCTTAAAGCATCATGACCCTGTAACTGTTTTTACAGTATGTGAAAAAGACTAGATTGAAGTATAAATCTAAGCCATCATACCCCACAGACGTACGGTAATACACAATAATTCTTGCATTGACTCATAAAATGTTGATTAATTTCTTTTTAGGTTCATCATTTTTCTCCTATTAACTGTGTTTATATAGGAAAGTTCACTTTGTTACAGTACCTAAAGACAATTGATTTCTGTGAAACTGTTTATTTTATTATTGTCTTGGCTATTGATTGATTAATCTGAATGATAATTTTCTCTTTTTTTTGGCATTTCCTTTGCTTTTTAAATTTTACAGCTTTAGACCTAGTTGTAGATTACCATCTTATAATGTCCTGTGCTTCTTTATATGTTTTAGATTTTCAGCTGTCTTTAAGAACAGCTTTTATTTTTGAACAAAGCTGCTTGCTATTGTTGCATTGGACTGATGCAACCGACAGATTTCAAGATATTTTTGATTATCTGCTGTGGAATTTTCTAAGAACTGGGTTCTGCTCTAAAAACCTCTGCCAAAAAGGTTTTGAAGCTTTTGAACACTGGTTTTCTGTTGAGGGTAAAACACAATGTAGAAGAAAATTCCAGTCCGTTTTCTGCCAGGTTATATGAGGTTAAACCTTTAATACTATGCTGTAATAAAAATCCTGGCGGACATGTTCTATTTTTCCTCAGATTAAAACTTTAAACCCTAAAACCCACCAACAAGAAGCCTATTCTCTAAATGGGAGCTGTTTCAGCAATTCCAACGTTGTGATTATATTTAACTTTAGAAACTTGACTTAAAAGTTAATGAACCAACAAAAAGGATTAACAAAAGAGTAATATGAAATATCTTGCACATTTACTATTATATGTTAAGTGCAACCACAGCAGAAATGTTACTTCACCTGTATTATAGAAACCAGAAGAAATGTAACATAATCTTGAATTTTTTTGGATGCAACTATTTTTCCACCCAAAGTCCAAGACCTGGCCCATTTTTGGGGGAAATAAATTGTCTTTAAAAACAGCAAAATTTGTATTTGTTTTTCATTTATATTGGACTTTTTTGGCATTAAAATAATTATATAGTTTTATATCATCATCTTATGATGACAGCTGTGCAGAGAAATGAAACAGCTTTATTATGTCTAATCCAGACAGCCAAAAGTAAATTGGGTATATTTACTTTAAGAGAAGATCCTGTACTCAAAGTTAAGGCAAGAAAATTATGCATAAAGATTTAAAGTGCAAGTTTGAGCTAGATTACTGGGTCAGAATATTTGTAAAACCCTTTTTCCTGCTCTGCAGTTCTTAGTCTCTATCAAATATGGCCCAATTTCTCAGATTGGTAAAGAGATCAGCATTGTTTTAGATAAAAGGTGTTGAGGTTTGTTTTGTATGGAGATGAATAGTCCTTGGCAAAACACGGGGAGCCCATGCTGACTGAACTCCATCGTTAAGGTATTAAAGGGTATGTGAGCATTAGAATTTGACCACAGTTGTAGTTTTTGCACAAATAGTGAGTTGGGCAATCTGCTTCTTCTGCCCCGTCAATTAAGAAAAAAGTTGGAAGAAACTGATTTAACACATGACTAAATTAGAAACTTTGAAGAGTTTTCAAAGACAAAATATGGGTTAACATATTTCATTTGTTGTAAAGCCCATCTGAGATTCATGTAGAACAGATTATTGAAAAATAATTCTAGCTCAGAGTTTGAGGCTCAAATACCTCAGGTCAGATGGGGCTGGGTTATATCTATTACCTGGAGGAAAAGCAAGCTGCCAAAGGCAATGGGATCTTTTGGGAACTGTGGTTCCTTCCATGTGTGTGGATGTTACTTAGACATGTATGCAGACTGTCTGCACTGCTGGATGATCAAAACTTTGCACAATGCAAAAACGAATCACAGAGTGTTTGAAGAATGGTTTGAGTTGTTGATCCGGATCAGCAGATCTCAGTCTGATGATTTAAACCTACTCCTGCTAACATTTTGGTACCAGGTAGAAAAACCTGCAAGGATGCAGCTGAGTAAATGCCACAATGGTCTTCAAATAACCAACATGCTACTGAGTAGGTGGTCATAATGTTGCGCCTGTTAGAGAATGTATTTCAGGAAAATGGCAGATATATCAAATCCATTTCGTTGAACTTTTCTTTGTTACTTTTACTTGTCACAAACTCATATATACCGTCTAATGGACTACAAATCATGTTTTCTTTGTCCAACTGCAATCATTTGTTCAATAAGCTATTCAGGCAGACCTCATTCAGGAGCTCATTCACTTTTCAGCAAATCTGCTTGGATTGCTCTGACTCATGGTGAGACAACCCTAAAACCAGAGTATGAGTTATTTCCACTCTTCAGCTCCAGGAAATAGGCCATTATCGACCACAATGATTTAGATTAACTGATGAATCGCATGCGGATGGGTAGAATGTTGATGTCTGATTTTTATCTTTGAAATATTTCAATTAGTACAAACTAAGCACTGATCATACAGTAGGTTATCTTTCATTCCTATGCCTTGCCAGTTTATTATGGATCCTTACAACCACTCTTGCCTATAGCCGGACCTGTACTGACGATGTTGATAGAAGATGGAGCTGCGACCAACCTTAAGAAGATGGAGGGAATAAAAACCAGCATGTGTATCTCTCTTTAATAAATTTCCCCCTATCTTCTGATCAGTGTTATCAAAAATAAGTGAAGTATGTAAAGTCCCTTTAAGTTTATTTTAATTATTTCTAACAGTTAGGGATTTGGACTTTGATTGGTTCCATTTTTATACTTCCTGACCTAGATTTTCTGCTGTGTTTGGATCTTTTAAATGTTTCATGACTCTGCTCTGGCCAAGCTGGAACCATCATATGTGGCTTCATATCTGACTGGAGACCTTTGGTGTACAGATATGATGAAGAAATGCTTACCTCCTATGCAAGTTACTAAGCTGTGGCAGGAAAACCAAAGTATTTAGTGGACAGCTAATTCCTGCCCCCCCATGTAGAATGCTATTTATATGTACTTTTCAATTTTTGTATGGTGTTGTGACTACAAAAGATAACCTAATTGCTAAAAAAAAAAAAATTTTTTCTTTATGTCTGAAATTAGTTGTTTTTTTTTTTTCCCTATAATAGAATGATATCATCTAGGCGTAGGCTAATCTTCAATAACTTTTAATAGAGGTGATTCACTCTGAAATATTGACTAAAACTAACAAAACAAAACAATCAAACAAAAACTGTAAGAATTCCCTTAGATCACCAATGCAAAAATGTTAAAGTTCATTAAAGGACTTTGTAGGAATGAGTCCACTATCCTCACTAACTTTCTGTGTCGGGTCCCTGAGGAAGTGGAGGCTGCATCCCTCCTTCAGGGGGGGCAGCTGCAGCCTCTGTAGTCCTCCCTTGTCTCCAGTGTGCGGTGGCCCGGCGGAGGCTCCGGCGGTGACGAGGCCCTGTGCTGCAGTCCACGTCTGCAGCGTCCACCGTACAGACAGGGCCGCTGCTCCAATGAAATCGCTCGACATATTGAGGTT